AATTTTCCCTCCGTACGCGCACGGGAATTGAAATAATTTCATCTTCATATTCTTGGTTCTTTCGGTAAAGTCACGTAGAAGGGAAACAATGAAATGATTTTAAAAAATATTTTATTTGATTGTTTATTGTTTTCCTTCTACGTGACTTTACCGAAAGAACCTAGAATATGAATCCCTGCAGTCACGAAAGCTTTAAATCTAAATTTAATTCCATCTTCGTTATTTTATTTGTATTTTTAATTTGTATTTCACCCTCGAATTGGGCACCCCACTTAACTTGGCGCCTTCGTTCGCCTGTATAGGCCGCTCCTGGTCACTCTGTGAGTCTCTGTGTAACACTGTGTGTCTCTAAGTAACTCGATGTGTCTCTATAAGTCTTATGCGTCTCTATGTGACTATGTCTCCATGTAACTCAGCGAGTCTTTACATAACTCTGGATATCTCTATGTAACTATAAGTCTGGATGCAATGCTATGGATGTGTGTGTAACTGAATTTCATTGTAACTGTATGCGTCTCTGTAACTACGTCTCTATGCAACTTTCTGGATCTCTATTAAACTCTATGTGCCTCTATGCGACTCTTATGTGTCTATGTAAATATATAGCTCTGTGTAACTCCGTGGATATCTATATAGCTCTGAGGATCTATGTAACTGTGGATATCTTAATATAACTCTATGAGTCTCTATGCAACTTTATGGATCTCTATGTAACTCTATGGGTCTTTATGTAACTTCATGCATCTCTGTGCAACTCTATGGATCTCTGTGTAACTCTATGTATCTCTGTGTAACTCTATGTATCTCTGTGTAACTCTAGGGATCTCTATGTAACTCTGTGTAACTGCAGTGTCCTGTAACTGCCACCACTGCTGACGGTCTAGGGCTGTGGTCGTCCTTGCAATAGGCATATGCCCGAAACGTCATCTCTTACACGTTTTACATTTCAAGTCCGCACAGCTCATAACACAATCTGCTGGCCACAAGTGAAATGCCTTTCCGAAGCTTGGGAATTGAAGATGCAATTTTAACTGATATACTTTATTTATTTAAGGGATGCCAGGGTGATGAGATGTTAACTACCTCGCCTGATACACAGGAGGTTGGGGGTTCGATCCCGACCCTGACGCCTGCTGCTGTATACAGTGAGGGAAATAAGTTTTTGATCCCCTGCTGATTTTGTACGTTTGCCCACTGACAAAGAAATGATCAGTCTATAATTTTAATGGTAGGTTTATTTAAACAGTGAGAGACAGAATAAAAACTAAAAATCCAGAAAAACACATGTCAAAAATTGTATAAATTGATTTGCATTTTAATAAGGGAAATAAGTATTTGACCCCTCTGCAAAACATGACTTAGTACTTCGTGGCAAACCCTTGTTGGCAATCACAGAGGTCAGACGTTTCTTGTAGTTGGCCACCAGGTTTGCACACATCTCAGGAGAGATTTTGTCCCACTCCTCTTTGCAGATCTTCTCCAAGTCATTAAGGTTTCGAGGCTGACGTTTGCCAATTCGAACCTTCAGCTCCCTCCACAGATTTTCTATGGAATTAAGGTCTGGAGACTGGCTAGGCCACTCCAGGACCTTAATGTGCTTCTTCTTGAGCCACTCCTTTGTTGCCTTGGCCGTGTGTTTTGGGTCATTGTCATGCTGTAATACCCATCCACGACCCATTTTCAATGCCCTGGCTGAGGGAAGGAGGTTCTCACCCAAGATTTGATGGTACATGGCCCCGTTCATCGTCCCTTTGATGCGATGAAGTTGTCCTGTCCCCTTAGCAGAAAAACACCCCCAAAGCATAATGTTTCCACCTCCATGTTTGACGGTGGGGTTGGTGTTCTTGGGGTCATAGGCAGCATTCCTCCTCCAAACACGGCGAGTCGAGTTGATGCCAAAGAGCTCCATTTTGGTCTCATCTGACCACAACACTTTCACCCAGTTGTCCTCTGAATCATTCAGATATCCATTGGCAAACTTCAGACGGGCATGTATATGTGCTTTCTTGAGCAGGGGGACCTTGCGGGCGCTGCAGGATTTCAGTCCTTCACGGCGTAGTGTGTTGCCAACTGTTTTCATGGTGACTATGGTCCCAGCTGCCTTGAGACCAAGATTCTCCCGTGTAGTTCTGGGCTGATTCCTCACCGTTCTCATGATCATTGCAACTCCACGAGGTGAGATCTTGCATGGAGCCCCAGGCCGAGGGAGATTGACAGTTCTTTTTGTTTCTTCCATTTGCGAATAATCGCACCAACTGTTGTCACCTTCTCACCAAGCTGCTTGGCGATGGTCTTGTAGCCCATTCAAGCCTTTGTAGGTCTACAATCTTCTCCCTGACATCCTTGGAGAGCTCTTTGGTCTTGGCCATGGTGGAGAGTTTGGAATCTGATCGATTGATTGCTTCTGTGAACAGGTGTCTTTTATACAGGTAACAAGCTGAGATTATGAGCACTCCCTTTAGGAGTGTGCTCCTAATCTCAGCTCGTTACCTGTATAAAAGACACCTGGGAGCCAGAAATCTTTCTGATTGAGAGTGGGTCAAATACTTATTTCCCTCATTAAAATGCAAATCAATTTATAACATTTTTGACATGCGTTTTTCTGGATTTTGTTGTTGTTGTTCTGTCTCTCACTGTTCAAATAAACCTACCATTAAAATTATAGACTGATCATTTTTTGTCAGTGGGCAAACGTACAAAATCAGCAGGGGATCAAATACTTTTTTCCCCGGAGTTTGCGTGTATCTCTCTTCATCCATGTGGTGACGTGGATTTTTTCTCCGGGTCCTCCGGGTTTTCCCTCCACATTTAGAAACACGCGCTTAGACTATTTAGATTATTTTGTGCTGCTATAAATGTCCAAATGCTGGGCCACTTGGTTGAGCTGTCATTTGTGGCCAGGTCGCTTCTGAGAAATAAGTTAACACCTCAGTGGGCTTTGCCTGGTATGATGGAGATGGTTTAGTGTTGTATTTGTTTGTGTTTGGGTGATTTGTTTACATTTCTTGTGCTTTGCACTCCTGTCGTGTTTTTGTAACGTTCTTACCCCGTGCCCCTATGGGACCTCTGTGAAAAAGAGCTTTATAGCTCATCGGATTCCTCCTGCAGTATAAACAAATGTGATTCTGAACCACAACCCCCCGCTGACCTCGTCAAGGAGCAGAGACCATAATCGCGCGAACTCTGCTCATCCTCGCAGCAGCAGCACCAGCAGTGGCTTTTGGCTAAGCCATCGAACAAATGCGGTGGTCACTGCATCATCATCATCGCGTGGTGCTTCCAGACGCACTTCTGCAGTCGTCTGGAACGCCTCTTTTCTTCCCGTATTTTAGGAAGCAACCATTGAACTACGCACTTTTAAATCATCCAGATAAATAACTAATGTACTTCTAGAACTGCTTGTTGTTGTGTTCGGTTTTAGTGGCCCTTTCCCCTGCGCCTCCGATTTAGCACAGTCGGCTACGTACGGCACGAAAAGAAGTTTAACGTGCGTGCGTACACGTACAGCGTGTGATTGATGGGTGTGTTGAGTTTTCTTGAATTTGACCAGGGCCACGCTGCCTGTCGATGGGTTTTTTTTTGTCGTTGAGGTTTTGTGTTGCGATTAGCGGCCTTTATTTTGGTGTCAGATGATAGCCCCCCCCTCCCCCCCTGAGAATTGTCATCCCGTGCGAGTCACTTCCTGTACAGGTGAAAGAAGACTATGGCCCTTTTCTTAATCCACAAGGAAGGGTCTTTATTCCACGGCACGGGTCGACATCTTCCTTCTCGTTCTCTCTCCCGCAACACCCCGGAATCCACCTCCCGCTCCCTCTGCTGACCTCTTCCTGGCTCCGCACCTCGTCGCACTCCGTCTCCACCAATCGTCATCTTCTCTTACCCTCACCTGGCCTAACCGTCTGACCTGATGCTCACCCAACCCTCCAGCTCGTTTCCCCTTGCAATGTTCCGGCCAATCCTCTTGCTCCCTGTGCCCTTACCAATCGGAGCGTGGCGTGTTTGCACAGCCTTCTTGATTACTCTGTCCCAGGGAGCGTGTGGGACAATCACAACACAGGGACTCCTCGACTTACGAATGAGTTGGGTTCCAGAGGTCTGTTCGTTAGTCGATTTGTTCGTAAGTGTAGTGTTCTTCACGGAGGCACACACTTGACTTGGAGGCCACACGTTTATTACACAGCCCAACAGGGTTAACTACATAAACTTACACACTCTAGACCCTAACAGGGTAACTACATAACCGGGTCAGTCAGTAACGTCCTGACTGACCCACGATGCCGAGCAGAGACCGAAGATCAGAGAGACTTAGCGCCGAGGGTTGATTCCAGAGTACAGCCACGAACGCTCCCGGGACTGCCCCTTGATGCTCCTGAGCGTGGCCTCGCTCCGCCCTCGGCTACGCTTCTTCGGGATCTTTCCCAAAGAATCCCGAGCGAGCATTACGTGTCCCTCAAGCCCCCTTCGCTACCCTGTCCCGGTCACGTGCCCTCTCGGGTTCACCGAGACTCCCCCGTCCTCACTCGCCTTCTCTCAGGCCGTCACCAGGACGATGCCCCTAGGGCCCCCTCGCTTTCCGTACTCACCCTGGCCCCCGAGAGAGGTCCCAGACGCACAGTAGCACTCTTGTAACAGTGGCTGGCACTAACACCGTAGTGGCACCATTAACATCTCACTACATAAGTACAACTTTACTGTTGGCGATTCCAACACGCCGTATGGCATGTACACTAAACACGGGGAATGGCTTTAAAAGTTGTATAATCTCCTGTAGATGTAGATGCCACCGGTTCTTCACGTTCTGCAGATGTAAATGCCACCGCTGCCATCTATTGCGTGGAGGTTGAACTTATGACTTTTGGTCCGAACAGGACAGGTTTTTTCATATCTATGAAAGTTTCTAAGTCGAATGTTCATAAGTGAAGGAGTCGCTCTGTATTTTACTCGGCATGGCTCCATTTAGATTCATCGCTGCCCCCTTGTGATCCCCTTTATTGAACCAGGTGACGTCCCCGGTGAGACTTGTCGCGGATGAACAAAACCAAGAGGGAAATAACAACGAGGCGAGGACCGACATCTGGAAGCAAAGGAGGAGGAGGGGGACGAGGAGGTGACAAGAGAGCGGCAGCGGCAGCATCAGGAAGAGGAGGGACAGGAGGTGGCAGAGGAGACGTCGTCGTCACCACAATGGCGCGTTTAGCGGGGACGGCCGTGCGATGGCTTCTCGTGACCTTTGCCCTGCGCCCCCCTGTGCTGACCCAGGGTGGTCACCACAGCGTGGTGTTGCTGGGCGCCACGGGGGACCTGGCACGCCGCCACCTGTGGCCGGCGCTCTTCAGCGTCTACGCCCAGCGGGCGAGCGTGCCGGCGCCGCCACTACCAGGAGGAGACGACGGCGCGGGGGGCGGCGGGTGGCGGCGCGACACGTTCTCGTTCCACGGCGCGGCACGAGCGGAACCCGCGCAGGGGCGGCCCGCGATGTTCAGCGCGTTGGGGCCGGGGCGGCTGCGGTGCCCGCGGAGGGTGGCTCCGGCACTGTGCAGCGTCCTGAGGTCCCGTCGCTCGCCCACTCAATCGCTCCATCGCTCCATCGCTTGATCGCTCCATCGCTCTTCCGCTCGCTCTTCCGCTCGCCCGTTCGCTTGTCCTTCCGTTCGCTCGCTCCCATTGCTCACCCCCGCTCGCATACTCCCTCTGTCACTCGCCCGCTCCATCGCTCGATCGCTCCATTACTCGCCCACTAACTCGCTTGCTCTCTTCCCTGCTCGATCGCTCGCCCACTCTCTTGCTTGCTCCATCGCTCGATCACCCGCTCGATCGCTCGCCCACTCCCTTGCTTGCTCCATCGCTCGATCACTCGCCCTCTCAATTGCCCAATCGCCCGCTCGATCGTTCACCCGCTCGATCGCTTAATCGCTCGCCCGCTCGCTCGTGTGCCTCTCCGTTCACTTGTTCACCCGTTCCCGCTGATTGAGTGTAGGCTGGTTATTCTAATCGTTGAGTCCCTTCTTCGTTTGTTAACACTTCCCAACCCGTGCAGGAGACGTTAACGCATTGGCTGTGTTAACGCGTGCGGCTCTGTTAAATACTCCTAGAGATTCATAGAGACTCATAGAGACCCATACTCATAGAGATCTATCGATACACAGATACCCATAGAGACCCATAGAAACCACTTCAATGGTATGGCTTTTGTGTTTAATGTTGCGAGGCATTCCACGGCAGCATCCTGGTGGTGCTGATGCTGACGATACTGACGATGTTGCTGACGATGACGATGTTGCTGATGATGACAATGTTGATGCCGCTGACGATGTTGCTGATGATGCCGATGTTGCTGATGATGCTGCTGATGATGCTGACGATGCTGCTGAGGATAACGATGTTGCTGATGATGCTGCTGATGATGACGATGCTGACGATGTTGCTGATGATGACGATGTTGCTGATGATGCTGCTGACGACGATGTTGCTGATGATGCTGCTGACAACGATGTTGCTGATGATGCTGCTGACAATGTTGCTGATGATGACGATGTTGCTGATGATGCTGCTGACAACGATGTTGCTGATGATGCTGCTGACGATGTTGCTGATGATGACGATGTTGCTGATGATGCTGCTGACGACGATGTTGCTGATAATGCTGCTGACGATGTTGCTGATGATGACGATGTTGCTGATGATGCCGCTGACGATGTTGCTGATGATGCTGCTGACGATGTTGCTGATGATGACGATGTTGCTGATGATGCCGCTGACGATGTTGCTGCAGGCATCAGTTTGTGATGCTCACCTCGTACCACCGCCTGTCGACGGAGGGCGACTTCCTCTCGCTCTGCCGGGACTTCCTGTCGGCGCGGGCTGAGGAGGAGGGCCTCGTGGAAAGCGGGCGGCTCTTCTACCTGTCGGTGCCACCGCACGCCTACCCCGCCATCGTCGCCCACCTCCACAGGCACTGCCGCTCGCCACAGGTGAGACCGCGGGTGGATGGCGAGTGACACAATTCGTGGTGACAGAGGAGGGGCGGACAGGTGAGACGTAGGTAGACGGGTGAGATGAGACGGTAGGGAGAAATGGGTGTACAGGTGAGATTATTGGGTGAGCGGACAAAGGTGGATAAAGTGAGACCAATGTGGACAGGTGAGATGAGATGGAGGGGTGGACAGGTGAGATGAAGGGGTGCGCCTGCTGCGTGTGAAGGCCAGCACATTACTACGTGTGTGCACGTGTGTGCACGTGTGTGCACGTGTGTGCACGTGTGTGCACGTGTGTGCATGTGTGTGCATGTTGGGGAGCGGTAGTGTAGTGGTTAGCACGCTGCGCTACGAACACGGCAACCCGAATTTGATTCCCGATCACGGCCACCACCAGTGACGATTATTTGGTGGGGAGACATCGTTGCTGGGGAGACAAAGATGACCGGGCGTGGTGTTGGCCACCCACCCCTTCGTGTGCGGTGCCGGCCTTTGTAGGTGCTTATTAACAGCACTTGCCCCAACAGCCTGTTAAGGCTATCCGGGGGATCTTTATCTTTGTTTCTGCATGTATGTGGGAAGTGTTAGCGTAACGGTCAGCGCACTGCACTATAAATCCGTAGAACCCAGTTCGATTCCGGTGCGGTGCATGAACTTCACCACTGGGGAGACAAAGGCGGCCAGGCGTGGTGTTGGCCACCCACCCCCTGGGCCTTTTGCAGGTGTTCCACGCTCACAGCGCTGGCCCTAACGGTCCGTTTCGGCTGTGCGGGTTGACCGCGCGCGCGTGCGTGCACCCAGCCCGGCGCGTGGCTGCGCGTGCTGCTGGAGAAGCCGTTTGGACGGGACCTGGCGTCGTCGCGGGAGCTTGTGGCGTCGCTCGCCGGCTCGTTGCATCACGACGAGCTTCACCTCATCGACCACTACCTCGCCAAGCCGGTGCGCAACTCCGCCTTGCCACGCCCGGGGGGGCGGGCAGGCCCATCCGGCGGTGTCGTCGAGCCGTTTACGCGTTTAGTGGTTTACGTGTGGTTGTTGTGGTCTACGTGTGTGGTTGTTGAGGTCTACGTGTGGTTGTTGAGGTCTACGTGTGTGGTTGTTGAGGTCTATGTGTGGTTGTTGAGGTCTACGTGTGTGGTTGTTGAGGTCTATGTGTGGTTGTTGAGGTCTACGTGTGGTTGTTGAGGTCTACATGTGGTTGTTGTGGTCTACGTGTGGTTGTTGAGGTCTACGTGTGGTTGTTGTGGTCTACGTGTGTGGTTGTTGTGATCTACGTGTGTGGTTGTTGTGGTCTACGTGTGGTTGTTGTAGTCTACGTGTGTGGTTGTTGTGATCTACGTGTGTGGTTGTTGTGGTCTACGTGTGTGGTTGTTGTGATCTACGTGTGTGGTTGTTGAGGTCTACGTGTGGTTGTTGTGGTCTACGTGTGTGGTTGTTGTGATCTACGTGTGTGGTTGTTGTGGTCTACGTGTGGTTGTTGAGGTCTACGTGTGTGGTTGTTGTGGTCTACGTGTGGTTGTTGAGGTCTACGTGTGGTTGTTGTGGTCTATGTGTGTGGTTGTTGAGGTCTACGTGTGGTTGTTGTGGTCTACGTGTGTGGTTGTTGAGGTCTACGTGTGGTTGTTGTGGTCTACGTGTGTGGTTGTTGAGGTCTACGTGTGTGGTTGTTGTGGTCTACGTGTGTGGTTGTTGAGGTCTACGTGTGGTTGTTGTGGTCTACGTGTGTGGTTGTTGAGGTCTACATGTGTGGTTGTTGTGGTCTACGTGTGTGGTTGTTGAGGTCTACGTGTGGTTGATGAGGTCTATGTGTGGTTGTTGAGGTCTACGTGTGTGGTTGTTGTGGTCTACGTGTGGTTTATGAGGTCTATGTGTGGTTGTTGAGGTCTACGTGTGTGGTTGTTGAGGTCTACGTGTGTGGTTGTTGAGGTCTACGTGTGTGGTTGTTGAGGTCTACGTGTGGTTGTTGTTGTGGTCTACGTGTGTGGTTGTTGTGGTCTACGTGTGGTTGTTGTGGTCTACGTGTGGTTGTTGTGGTCTATGTGTGGTTGTTGTGGTCTACGTGTGTGGTTGTTGTGGTCTACGTGTGTGGTTGTTGTGGTCTACGTGTGGTTGTTGTGGTCTACGTGTGGTTGTTGTGGTCTACGTGTGTGGTTGTTGTGGTCTACGTGTGGTTGTTGTGGTCTACGTGTGGTTGTTGTGGTCTACGTGTGGTTGTTGTGGTCTATGTGTGGTTGTTGTGGTCTACGTGTGTGGTTGTTGTGGTCTACGTGTGTGGTTGTTGTGGTCTACGTGTGGTTGTTGTGGTCTACGTGTGGTTGTTGTGGTCTATGTGTGGTTGTTGTGGTCTACGTGTGTGGTTGTTGTGGTCTACGTGTGGTTGTTGTGGTCTACGTGTGGTTGTTGAGGTCTACGTGTGGTTGTTGTGGTCTACGTGTGTGGTTGTTGTGGTCTACGTGTGTGGTTGTTGTGGTCTACGTGTGGTTGTTGTGGTCTACGTGTGTGGTTGTTGTGGTCTACGTGTGGTTGTTGAGGTCTACGTGTGGTTGTTGTGGTCTACGTGTGGTTGCTGTGGTCTACGTGTGTGGTTGTTGAGGTCTACGTGTGTGGTTATGGTCTACGTGTGTGGTTGTTGAGGTCTACATGTGGTTGTTGAGGTCTACATGTGGTTGTTGTGGTCTACGTGTGGTTGCTGTGGTCTACGTGTGTGGTTGTTGAGGTCTACGTGTGTGGTTATGGTCTACGTGTGTGGTTGTTGAGGTCTACGCGTGGTTGTTGTGGTCTACGTGTAGGTTGTTGAGGTCTACGTGTGTGGTTGTTGTGGTCTACGTGTGTGGTTATGGTCTACGTGTGTGGTTGTTGTGGTCTACGTGTGGTTGTTGAGGTCTACATGTGGTTGTTGTGGTCTACGTGTGGTTGTTGTGGTCTACGTGTGTGGTTGTTGTGGTCTACGTGTGGTTGTTGAGGTCTACATGTGGTTGTTGTGGTCTACGCGTGGTTGTTGTGGTCTACGTGTGGTTGCTGTGGTCTACGTGTGTGGTTGTTGAGGTCTACGTGTGTGGTTATGGTCTACGTGTGTGGTTGTTGAGGTCTACGCGTGTGGTTGTTGCGTGCGGATATGTGCTCGTGGTTGTACGGTTGTCGGTGTGTGCGTGTGGATGTGTGGTTGACGTGTGGTTGTGTTTGTATGTGTTATTGTTTTGTTAATGTGTGGTTGTTTTAGTGCGTATGTCCAGCAAAACAACCCTCTACCTCCTTGTGGTGCCGGATGGGCAACGCTGTCGTGGGCAGTGCTGTGGGGGGGAGGGCCAATTCCGATTGGCTTTTCCCTTCACGGCATTTGTAACCACCACAGCGGCTAAATGGGGTCTCTGGACCAGTGCGAATGGCTGGTAACTCCTCCACCTTCAATTAATTACCACTAAACCACGACCACAAAATTTTATAAATAAGCTTGTGCTGGAGGCCCCGGGGGGACAGGCGTCTATGACGTCTCCTGGCCAAACCCCATTTGGCGGAGCCAGGAGACTGAATCCTTACCCTCGGGCTCCTCCAGAAACAACAAAAAACTACTACGTGTGGCCACGTGGAATGTTCAAACTCTCACTGTGGAGGAGAGGCTGCCACTCCTTTGTTGGGCGCTGGACCGGTACCGCCTGGATCTCTGTGGTATTCAAGAGGTCCGGTGGACCGGCTCTGGCTCCTGCCACAATGAGGGGTGGACAGTCCTCTATTCGGGGCAGGAGACTGCCAAACAACAGGGAGTGGCTCTTCTTCTGAACAAAAGAATGAAGGGGCGTGGGAGCGTGGCAGTGAGGTGTGGGAAGCTGTAAGCCCCAGGCTACTTTGGGCTCGCCTTCCCATCAACCGGAGGCGAGGAGTGGTGGTTGTGATTACTTATGCCCCCACTGAAGACGAACAACTGTGGAGGGATGCAGGCAAGGCCGATGAGTCAGATGCATTCTATGACCTCCTGTCACAGGTGCTAGCTAAATTGGCCCCTCGGCATAGAGTGATCTTGTTGGGTGACTTCAATGCCCGAGTTGGTCATGATGCTGGCACCTGGTCTGGAGTAATTGGAAGGCATGGGCCAGATCAGCTCAATAACAACGGCAGGAGGCTGCTAGATTTTTGTGCAGCCCATGGGCTTGTAATTACCAACACGCTGTTCCGGCATCGGCGCATCCACACCACATCATGGATGCATGCCGGGTCCAAGCAAGAACATCTGCTGGACTACATAGTGACGGAACAGCGGATGCGGGCCCATGTCCTTGACACCAGGACCTACCGTGGAGCTGATCTGCCCACTGACCATCGACTTGTCATCTGTAAGATGCGCCTGCCATTCTTCCACTCCCGTGGTTGGACACCCAAGACCCCATTCAAACCCTTAGTGGCATGGTCTCAGCTAGCTGATGAAAGTTGCAAGCGAGAATTTCATCATCACTTGCAGCTGGGGTTGGCATCGTCCCCCACTCCTCCTGATATCGAGGGTAAATTGGCAAGGTTTAGGACTGTGGCTCATGCAGCTGCAATGGCTGCTTTGGGTACACAATCCAGACCTCCCCAGAGACCCTGGCTGACAGAGGAGGTGTTCAGGCTGGCTGAGAAAAAGCGACAGGCCCCCACTCTCATCGGCTACAGCATACCACGTCGGAGAATGAGGAGGCTTACCGCAACCTTCGCTCAGAGGTTCGGAGAGCCGTGAGGCGCTGCAAGGATGGTTGGTCGTCGCGGGTTGCTGAGGAGATGGAGTCTGCCTCAATGGCCTGCGATCACAAATCGCTCTTTAATTCCATCACAAAGTAACCTGCAGCGCCACACCTATTACCACCATTAGGGGAAAGAACGGTGATCCAATCTCCGACCCCCAGGAACAGGTTTGCTGATTTGCTGAGCATTTCTGTGAGGTCCTGGGGGAGGGGAAACCCTCAGCCAGGAAAACGTGGGACAAAGTGGGGATGACCCTGCTGAGGCTGCGGTTCCTCAAATATTGGAGGAGGAAGTCACCCCCTGTGAGTGGCTGGCTGAGGTGCCATCTATTGAGGAAGTACTGAAGGGGATCCAGAGTCTGAGACCAGGAAAGGCACCGGGCAGAGATGATCTCCCAAGCGAAATGCTGAGGGAGGGTGGCTTTTGTGCACAGACTGCCCTACATGACATCATAACAACAGTCTGGACCACTGGACGGGTTCTGCAGGACTGGAAGGATGCCCTGGTGGTCCCCCTCTTTAAGAAGGGGACCGCACAGACTGTAACAACTACAGAGGCATCTCACTCCTCAGTGTGCCGGGAAAGGTCCTGGCAAGGATTATTCAACATCGCCTTGTTAGGCACACTGAGGAGAGGCTTGCGGAGCCCCAATGCGGTTTCAGGAAAGGGCGGTCCTGCACGGATGCCATATTTTCTGTCCGTCTGCTACAGCAGAGGTGTAAGGAATTCCAACAAGACCTACATCTCTGCTTCATTGACCTGGTGAAGGCCGATGATACCATCAGTAGGCCTGGGCTCTGGGTTGTTCTTCGTGCTTTCGGAGTCCCTGACCCTCTGCTCACGATCATTAAGGAACTTCATGATGGTGAGCGGGCCCGGGTAAAACTACGTGTCTGGGAAGTCAGAGCCATTCCCTGTACACCTTGAGGTGCGACGGGGATGTCCTCTGGCTCCCACATTATTTAACATCTATTTCGACCACATAGTTCGTGAAGCCTTCAATAGCTGTACCGGGGGAATTTCCATTTGGTACAGATATAATGGGAGGCTGATCGATGCCCGGGTGCGGTCAAGGGATGGCTCCCTATTGGTCAACTACGTTATGTATGGCGATGATTTGGTAATTGCTGTTCATTCAGAGGAGGAGTTGGAGACGCTGCTGCTGAAACTGGAGCGTGCCACTAAGAGATGAGGCCTTACCATCAGCCCCACCAAAACTAAGCACTTGCCTGGGCATTTTGTACCATCGGACACTCTACCCCCACAACTCCCAATCGGTGATGGGGCAGTTGTGGAGAGAGTGGAGAGTTTCCCATACCTGGGCAGTGTGCTCATGACCGGCTCTGGTTTAACAGCAGAGGTCTCACTCCAAATCAGTCGAGCGGCAATATCTTTTCATCGGTTGTGTAACGCTGTGTGGAAGCTACCTGGTCTGTCGCTCCGCACGAAGCTTCAGGTCTTTTCGGCCACGGTCATTCCCTTCCTTCTCTTCGCTTGCAAAACGTGGACCCCCCTAATGGAGCATCTTCGCCGATTGGAAACATTTAGGCTAGCCTGCCTACGATCCATCCTGGGTTTAACCAGGCTGGATTGTGTGAGGAGCTCATAGGTCCTTGAAAGATCTGGGCAAAGTCCCATCGGTGAGCTCCTCCGGCAGGCAAGGCTGCATTGGCTTGGTTATGTAGCCCGTATGCCCAGCCACCGCATGCCTAAACAGCTTTTGTTCGGCCGGATAGAGGGGGCTAAATGGGCGCGGCACAGGCTAGAGAAAAGATGGAGTGATGTGGTACAAGATTGGCCTCAGTGGAGGAGGCTCGTGAAGGACGCTACTGGGAAGTTGGAGGCAGTCGCCTTCCAACTACAACAGACGGCGGATGAGCGACGCTCACAACAACGAGCGGAGTGCCGGGTGGCTAAAGCACAGCAAGTTGGCACAGTAGGGGCACAGGTGGTGCATCAGCCAGTCATCTCAGTCAGTAGACCTGTGGCACCTGGGTCTGCCCCGTGACCTCCTGTCAGCGGGCGTTCGACACTTCACGTGGCCTCAAGGTGCACATGGCCTGGCACAAGCATCGTGGTGACGTCACCGCGTGTCCATGTGCAGTTGTGTGTGGATGTGTGGTTGACGTGTGGTTGTGTTTGTGTCCGTGTGTGGCTGTGCGTGTGTGTGCCCTGTCTGTGTGGAGTTTGTATGTTCTCCTGTGCCATTCTGCAGCGAGTATGGTTAGTAAACATCACCATGAGGGAGACAAAGGCGGTCGAGTGTGGTGCTGGCCACCCACCCCCACTCCGGCCTTCATGGGTGCTCACTAACAGCACTTGCCCCAACAGTCTGGCTTTACGGAGGCATCTTTGTCCTTGTGATTGTTAGTGTGTGGATGATGTGTGTGTGTGTGACCACGTGGTTGCCACGTGGTTATGTGTGTCTGTGTGGCTGTGAGTGTGTGTTTGTATGGTTGTGAGTGTGTGGATGACGTGTGGTTGTGTGGTGTGTGGCTGTGTGTGGTTGTGCGGTGAAGGCGGTGGCTGCGATCCTGCCGTTCCGAGCGCTCAATGCTCCGTCTCTCACCACCGTCTGGGGCGGCCCCAACGTCCGCAGGGTGGAGGTCACACTGATGGAGGCGCACGGGGTCAAAGGTTAAACTTTAAACTATTTTTATTTTAATAGGTGTAAGGCCCCATTGAGCTGCTATGTCATCGTGTGGAAATTTACGGAAGCCAAAATGATCTGACCGCTTGACGTTGATTCGAAATGTGGAGGGAACAACTGGAGGGACCCGGAGAAAAGTCCCCGCGACCACGGGGAGAGAGGAGGTTCAGAATGGCCGTGTTCGAGGCGCTGATCCGGCAACCGTTGAAACCAATCCCTGAATTGGTGGTCTGCCTGGGGTTAATAATGGTCGTGTCACGGGACACCAAGCAAGCACCGCTGAGACCTGAGTTCAACCTCTGTGTCTGGTGTCTCTGCCTTGAGGGGCTCAACCTCAGCAGTACCATCTCAGTGTCTCTGACAGGGCCAAGATGAACCCCCCTGGAAGAAAGAGACACCGATACCCAGGCTCTCGGGGTCACGGCCTCGGTGTGTCGTTAACACCACCGTCACGGACCCCCGACGGAGACATCCGGTGCCTGGTCTCAAACCCACAGCCCCCTCAGCAGTTGCCACCGACACGGCCATTATGAACGGAGACGCACCGGGCCGGAGCCCTCCGACTCGCACTCGGCATCTTGCAGCTTTACAGCCGACACGGCCATCACGAACCGGCGGCTCGAGAAGGGCAACGGCTACCTCTTTACCATCATCGTCATTGCCGTCACGCCATCCCCCATCCTCCCCACCCCCAAAAGACAAAGATACCCCGTGTAGCCTTAATACACTGTAGGGGCAAGTACTGTTAGTGAGATGCACCTAAGAAGAACAGCATGGCACACGAGGGGGTGGGTGGCCAACACCACGCCCGGCCGCCTTTGTCACCCCAGTGGCGATGTTTACACACCGCTACCATCATCACCACCATCAACATCAACCACCACTTGAAACATCACCATCAACATCATCACTTTCAACAGCACCAATACCAAAGACAAAGATCCCCCGTATAGCCTTTTGCAGATTGTTAGGTGAAGTGCTGTTCGCAAGCACCTATGAAGGCCGACACAGCACACCAGGGGGTGGGTAACCAACACCACGCCCGGCCGCCATTGTCTCTCCAGCGACGATATTTACACACCGCACTAGGTACTCATTTAAGGCTGAGTCGACCTAGGGCAGAGGCCCAGGACCGGTTCGGATAATCGCCATTGGCGGCATCGGCCGTGAGCAGGAAATCGACCCCAGGATCGCCAGGTTTGTAGTGCTCACCGCTGCGCCACCGCTTCCCTCCCCCCTCCATCCCCCACCCCCCTATCCCCCACCCCCCTCCATCCCACACCCCCCACCCCCCTCCATCTCCCACCCCCCTCCATCCCCCACCCCCCTCCATCCCCCACCCCCCTCCATCCCACACCCCCCACCCCCCTCCATCCCCCACCCCCCTCCATCCCCCACCCCCCTCCATCCCCCACCCCCCACCCCCCTCCATCCCCCACCCCCCTCCCCCCTCCATCCCACCCCCCTCCATCCCACACCCCCCACCCCCCTCCATCCCACACCTCCCACCCCCCTCCATCCCCCACCCCCCACCCCCCTCCATCCCACACCCCCCACCTCCCTCCATCCCCCACCCCCCTCCATCCCCCACCCCCCTCCATCCCACCCCCCCCACCCCCCTCCATCCCACCCCCCCCACCCCCTCCATCCCACACCCCCCACCCCCCTCCATCCCACCCCCCCCACCCCCCTCCATCCCACACCCCCCACCCCCCTCCATCCCCCACCCCCCTCCATCCCCCACCCCCCTCCATCCCCCACCCCCCTCCATCCCCCACCCCCCTCCATCCCACCCCCCCCCACCCCCCTCCATCCCCCACCCCCCACCCCCCACAGGGCGGATGAGCTTCTACGACAAGTACGGGGTGGTGCGCGACGTGCTGCAGAACCACCTGACCCAGGTGGCGGCCCTCATCGCCATGGAGATGCCCCCCGCTCGCGACCCCGTCACCGCGGCGATGCTGCGGGCCGCCTCGTTGGCCGAGCTGCTGCCCCCGGATCGCTCGAGCGCCGTGATTGGCCAGTACGAGGGCTACGGGGAGGAGCTTGCCCAGGAGCTGGGGCTGGCCGGGGTCGCCGAGGGCAACGGCAGCCGCACGGCGACCTATGCAGGTGTGGCACCTCCCCGCACGTCTCCTCGCGCCCGTGCACGGAGCCGGGCTTTGGTGGAAAAGTACGGTTGATCAATCGATTATCCGGCACCGCGCGCTTATCCGGCCTGCTTACAACATTATCCGGCTGTTTCCCGGGGGGGCCGATCCGGCGAAGCCGGCAAAACATCGCACCGAAGGCTGTGACCCAGTTCCGGTGATCGGCACCGTGTGCGTGACAAAACAACGGAGCTATTCTTAATTTCAGATGTCAAATATATATGGTACATGATACACTACATACAACTTAATGAAAATACTGCACGCGTATACATCACCCCATGATGCAGAGTATTAAAGATTGGAGTGGTAAGTACGGTACAGTAAATATCGTAACATTTTAAAATAGAAGGATGTTTATTTTTGTCTTTGTATGTTTATTTATGCCACTTTTCACACAGTAAACAAATTGAGAACACTAAACAAAATGCGGCAACACCTACACACATAATTGTCATGCAAGAAGTTGTCAAAATAAGCTATTTTAATTAACGACGATTTAGCGATTATTCGGCTTTTTAAAAAATCCGGTGCCCCCTCCCCCTCACCCCCCGCCCCCCGAAGCCACCGGATAATCGATAATTATCGATGATAGATGATAATGAAAAGATTATCGATAATCGACAGTAGAAGCCCTCCTCATCTTAACGACGGTAATTGGTTCCACGAAACCACTCGTTAAGTGATTTGGTCGTTAAGCGAGTGTAGGGGATGCACGTTAAAGGCTTAATTCATTCCGACAGCATCGAAAGTTACTCCCTTCTTCACCCAAACAAACGTACTTTATAATATTTAAACAATGGATATTAGTGCATAAAGATACTAACAACATTATAAACACATAATATTAAAAGAAATGCGGTTAATCGATGCATTCATTCACTGTTTACTGTATCTACAACAGCCTATCGTTAACAAAGGAATGGTTGGTAAGCGAACACGTTGGGGTTTATGGAGGCATTACACTACTATACACTATGCACTACACTACTATACACTATACACTGCTATACACTACACTGCTATACACTACACTATACACTACACTACTATACACTACGAGGCACTACACTATACACTACACCACTATACACTACACTATACACTACACTGCTATACACTACACTACTATACACTACACTGCTATACACTATACACTACTATACACTACACATTGGACTCTATGGAGGCTCGTCGTTAAGAGGGGTTCGGCTGTAATTCTTCTCGAGTGTAGCGATAATAACGTTGCCTTGTGCAACTGGGGACGCTAAGACACACCTTTTTTTCAGCCTATATTTTAAACCAACAGGTGGTGATGATGGTTGTGGTGATGTGTCTAATAGTTGTGTGTGGGAGCAGCCGTGTCGTGGTTAGTGGACTCTGCACGATTACAATGCACGAACCAGTGCAATGCCATCTATGGGAATGAGGAGCGGGGGGGAGGGGTCTTGTTTACTCCACCCGGCTTCACTCATCGCTCGTTCATTACCCCCCTATCCCCCCGACGTCCCCTGCCCCCCCCCCCCCCATGCAGCGGTGGCGCTTCGCTGGTCCTCGCCGCGCTGGCGCTCCGTGCCCTTCGTGCTCGCCTCGGGCAAGCTGTCGTCACGGCGCCGCGTGGCCCTCGCGCGCCTGCTCCTGCGCCGCCCCCGCGGGGCCCAGATCGTCTTCCTCGTTGGGGGCGGCGGCGCCCACGAACCGGAGTCGGAATCCGGAGCTGGAGCCGGATCCGGAGCGGGCCACGCGTCGGCGCTGCTCGTGAGCCGCTCTCTCTTCCGGCCGCGCGTCGACGAGCGGCTCTGGAGGGAGGCGCGGAGCCCGGAGGAGCTCGGCCTCGGAGACGACGACCTGGAGCCCCCCCCCGAGGGGGAGGAGGGGGAGGCTGTCGCCGCAGCAGGGAGGAGAATCCGATGGCTGGGCGCGCCGCTCGACTCGTTCCACGCGTTCGTGCTGCGGTCACAGCCCGGCGGCGGCGGCGGCAGAGACGGCGCGGTGAGTCCCGGTGGTGGTGGTGGTGGCGGTGGTGGTGGTGGTCGGCGCTCCGCTGCGCTACGAACCCGACGACCTGAGTTCGATTCCCGCTCACGGCCAACACCGGTGACGATTATCTTAACCGGTCCTGGGCCTCCCCTAGGTCGACTCAGCCTCAAATGAGTACCTGGTGCGATGTGTAAAACATTGCCACGAGGGAGACAAAGGTGGCCGGGCGTGGTGCTGGCCACAGACCTCCTCGTGTGCTGAACCGGCCTTCATGCCTGCTCCTCGCTAGCAGCACTGAGTGCAGCTGTGATGCTCACCCCGGTCGTGGCTTTGTACCAAGCGCTCGCCGTAGGCCAAGCGGCTTCGTGCAGCAGCAGCAGCGATGGTGACGATGACTCGACGGCAGCATTACCGCCGTTCTTGTCGTTCCCAGTCCAACCGCGACCCCGACAACATCAACGGCGACGACGACGAGGTGGCGCTGGAGCTGGCGCTGGAGGGCAGTGCCCACGCCGTGCTGCTGGACGCCGCCCTGCGTGGCCGCGGCGCCGACTTCGTGTCGCTGGGCGAGCTGGAGGCCGCGTGGGGGGCCTGGGACCCGCTTCTCGCGCAGCTGCAGGGGGTCGCGCCCATACTTTACCCTCCCGGCACGCACCCTCCTCTGCACCCTGCGGCGTACGGTGGGGACGATAGTGGGGACGACGCCGATGGTGGCGACGGTGGTGGTGATCACGGTGATGATGAATTTAACAAGGGTGGCAGCATTGATGAGATAGATGATGATGATGAAGACATTGCTGGTGGTGGTGGCTTTACGAAGAGAGATGATAATGATAGCGGCAATGGTGATGGTAACGATCATGATGGTGATGATGATAGGGATGATGGTAACGATCATGATGGTAATGATCATGATGGTGACGATGATGATGGTGACGATGATGATGGTGATGATGGTAATGATCATGATGGTGACGATGATGATGGTAACCATCATGATGGTGACGATGATGATTTTCACAAAGCAGAAAAAGCTCGTGATAAAAATGGTGGTGATGGTTACGAGAGCGATGAAGATCAACGAGATGACGACGACGATGGCTCTGATGGCGATGATGATGATGATGGAGTGAACATCATTACAAGCGACCCGTTCTATGACTCCATTGCCAAGGTGAGGCTTTGGCAGGGAATGTGGAACGAGACCCATATTCCCGTCCACACCAATGTCTCCAGTTCACCCCCATGAGTCCTCCTCTTCCTCTTTACTTTACCAGGTAAGGCCCACTGAGCTGTAGAGCTCTTTTTTCTGAAGCGATCTTGGCCATCACAAACGATAGCTCAATGATAATGGCTCATCCATGTGGAAATTTATCGCGTAAAAATTTGCTTTAAAACACGTGACGTTGATTCGAAATATGGAGGGGAAAATCGGAGGACCCGGAGAGAAATCCACGCGACCACGGGGAGAGAGAGAGAGACACACAAACTCAACATTTACAGCCGGCGTCAGGGTTGGGATCGAACCCACTACCTCCTGTGTACCAGGCGAGGTCGTTAACATCTCCTAGCAACCATGGAGCCCCCACCACCTTATTTTGAGCCTCCCTAGCGCACACAGAGAGACCAATAGACTCACACAGAGACCCGCAGACTCACACAGAGACCCATAGACTCACACAGAGACCCATAGACTCACACAGAGACCCATAGACTCACACAGAGACCCATAGACTCACACAGAGACCTACAGACTCACACAGAGACCCATAGACTAACACAGAGACCCATAGACACACACAGAGAACAATAGACTCACACAGAGACCCATAGACTCACACAGAGACCTGCAGACTCACACAGAGACCCATAGACTAACACAGAGACCCATAGACTCAAACAGAGACCCGTAGACTCACACAGAGACCCATAGACTCACACAGAGACCCGTAGACTCACACAGAGACCCATAGACTCACACAGAGACCAATAGACTCACACAGAGACCCGCAGACTCACACAGAGACCCATAGACTCACACAGAGACCTATAGACACACATAGAGACCCATAGACTCACACAGAGACCCATAGACTCACACAGAGACCTGTACACTCACACAGAGACCCATAGACTAACATAGAGACCCATAGACACGCACAGAGACCCATAGACTCACACAGAGACCCATAGACTCACACAGAGACCCGTACACTCACACAGAGACCCATAGACTAACAGAGACCCATAGACACACACAGAGACCCATAGACTCACACAGAGACCCATAGACTCACACAGAGACCCGTACACTCACACAGAGACCCATAGACTCACACAGAGACCCATAGACTCGCACAGAGATCCATAGACTCGCACAGAGACCCATAGACACACAGAGACCCATAGACTCGCACAGAGACCCGTAGACTCATACAGAGACCCATAGACTCGCATAGAGACCCATAGACTCACACAGAGACCCATAGATACAGAGACCCATAGACACACAGAGACCTATAGACACACACAGAGACCCATAGACTCACATAGAGACCCATAGACTCGCATAGAGACCCATAGACACACACAGAGACCCATAGATACAGAGACCCATAGACACACAGAGACCTATAGACACACACAGAGACCCATAGACTCACATAGAGACCCATAGACTCGCATAGAGACCCATAGGCTCACACAGAGACCCATAGACACACACAGAGACCCATAGACTCACAGAGACCCTTCGACTCACACAGAGACCCATAGGCTCGCACAGAAACCCATAGACTCACACAGAGACCCATAGACTTCTACAGAGACCCGTAGACTCGCACAGAGACCCGTAGACTCACACAGATACCCATAGACTCACACAGAGTCCTAAAGACACACAAAGACCCATAGACACACAAAGACCCATAGACACACAGAGACCCATAGGCTCACACAGAGACCCATAGACTCACATAGAGACCCATAGACTCGCATAGAGACCCATAGGCTCACACAGAGACCCATAGGCTCACACAGAGACCCATAGACACACACAGAGACCCATAGACTCACACAGAGACCCATAGACTCACAGAGACCCTGTCGCAGCTCTGGTCGTCTGTAATTCCCTCCGTCCTGCTGCCTCACCACCCCAACATCTGTGTGTTGTCAGTGTGATGACCTCTGACGGAATCTGGTGATTCGTTTCGCCGTCATTTATCCTCCCGCGCCTCTCTGCGTCTTTTAAAAGTTCTATTTTGTGCGCGTTACAAATTTTATAATGAGCTCGTTCATTTAAAGCCACTAAGTGTTAATTAGTTAGCGTATTATGTTAAGTACGTGTACATATAATTAAACTATAGTAATTTAACAACAATATTTACTTATAGTGCCTAGAAAAAGTTTGTGAAACCCTTAGGACTTTCACATATTTTACATATTTCAGACCTAAAATGTTATTAGCTCTTAATCTAAGTCCTAATAATAGATAAAGGTAACCTGATTAAACAAATGACACAAAAACATGATACTCTTTCAACATTTATGTATCCCCAAATTATTCTACATTCAATCACCACGTGTGAAAAAGTAGATTCAGTAACCGCAACAATGACTGCCACTAAGCGTTTCCTGTAACCGCTGGTCAGTTTCTCTCACACCAGATTTGAGGAGTTGGGTTTGTAACCCTTTCTGGACTGATGAGCATCAATAACTCTTTTTCTGAGGTCCTCAGATTTATTTTGATCGTGACGTGACTTGTTCCCACTCACCGACGTGGTGAAGACCAAACTCACAAACTGTCTGATCTTTATATTGGGTGGGACCTTCCAAACTCACCTTTAAAGATCTACCTCATTATTTAAACACCTGATTCTAATTATTCCCTTAAACCAGGGATTCGCTTACTTTTTCACATGTCCTGAACCTTAACTACTCAATGTTTAATTCCTACATGGAATTGGCGAATATAAACCCTGTTGGATATTTAAGAAAAGGACGGTTTTTATTCAAGAAGGCTCTCGTGGTAAAACTATGGAATTTCCATAATTATCAATGGGTTTAACACGTAGGCTTTCGCGACCAATCTCTACAATACAGGTTTTTTGTTTGTTAGATAGCGTAAATATATAATTAGTAAGGTTTGTCACGTAAACAGAACGTGCCAATTCGTTACGAGTACAGCGCACCGGTTGTGTGTTGGGCAAATCCACAACATTTACAATTCGCGTACGACGTTTCGGCAGTATTTACGACTCAATTGCAACTAGCTTCATTGGCAACAGCCAAATTTGGCTGTCGCCTGAGGAAGCTAATTTGCTCTCCAACACACTGGTGTGCTGTACTCGTAACGAATTGCCCAAGTAATTAAAGTGATCAAAATACCATACATTGCGGCAGTAACTGATAAACTAGCCAGATGTTTGGAAAGACAAAACATCTGAGTCAGATTTGGCACGGTACGTAAAATAGAGAATTGTATATCCATCAACAGAAGGAGTGTACAGGATTAACTGCACATGTGCTAAATGCTATGTTGGGCAAACAGGACAAATGCGACTAAAGCACGAGACTAAACGAACATCAGATAAATATTAAATTCTCCCAAATGCAACTGTCAGCAGCAGCAGCAGAACATGCTTGCCAACGAGGACACTCAATTGATTTTGATAATGTTGAAGTTTTGTGAAAAACTAGCTACTACTGGCCAAGACTAAATTATAGAATCTATCGAAATTGAAATAAATAAAAAATAATTTTCACCGTCCGGATAGCGACTGCCTTAGTGTTGCGTGGAAGCGAATCATCAAATAATACATTATTAAAATGCATTCCTACAAAGGGCAGCGTACTTCAATAGGGATTACCGTTGGTAGGGCTAATTTAACACACAATAGACAGGATGGACAAGATCAAAGGGCTCGCATAATGCACATGCATAATGTACGTTGACACAGTAATCTCGCCCCCCCCCCCCCATCATTGTGCAAGAGCGCAGAAGGGTGGTCACCATATCTACGCCTCTGTATAAGGAACGAAACAGTAAGACTTGTCCACAAATCTGGCTGTCGCCTGATGAAGCTAGTTGTAATTACTGGCGAAACGTCGTACTCAGTGTGTAAATGTTGTGGCTTGGCTCTCCAACACACCGGTTAGTGCTGTACTAGTGACGAATTGGCCACGTTCTGTTTACGTGACAACCCTTACTAGTTGGCTGTGTCGGGTGGTGGCAGGTTTTAACGACACATTTATATACGCGATCTAACCTAAAAAAAGCTATATTATGAATGATCATTGGCGTCCACAAACTTTTTCTCGGCACTGTTTTTTTTTGCAGTTTTTGCCGGACACGAACCAGAATGGGGGCGAGTCCGGCTTCGAGATATCTCGAATTGTTCTTTAACACGAGCGCGCACACGTACACGGGCACACGGGCACACGTACGCACGCGGGCGCGCACACGTACACGGGCACACGTACGCACGCGGGCGCGCACGCGGGCACGCGCACGCGGGCACGCGCGCGCACGTGTGTTGTGTACGATTTTTTTAAATCTACGGGTACATGTTGCAAGTGACTGCGGATAAAAAATAAAAAATTCCCCCGTTCGGGAATAATCGCTGCAATGATAATTCATGATGACGATGCTGATGATGACAGCGACGACAATTGTGCTGGCTCCACAATGGTGAAGTCCTGTCGTTAAAAAAAAATATATAAAAAATAACCACCCCCCCTGGCTTAGTGAAGTGGGTTTTTATTTTATTCAAGCGGCGGCGAGTCGGCAGGACCCCCGCTAAGACACAAATAGCGTCGCTGCGTACAAACCGTTCCGCGCCGGGGCCCATGCTAAGCCAAACCAGCCCAGTTGTTTTTCCACTTTCCGGGAGCCGAGCCGTGCCGCCGACGTCACGCGCGCAGGTTGTCGAGCGAGCGAGTGACGTCGTCATCATCCATGCAGCTGGAGAGCAAATGGCACGCCGTGCTAAGTCGTGAAAGTTAAACACAAAGATCCCCCCCGCCCCCCCCGTCCAGCCTGTAAGTGACTGGTGGCAGCAAGTGCTGTTGGCGAGTAGCAACACGATGAAGGCACCCCACGCGCTCGGCGGCTTTTGCCCCCCCCCCCCCCCCCCCCAGGGGCAAAGTTCTACAAACCGCACCCAGCGTACTCATTTGAGGCCGAGTCAACCTAGGGGAGGCCCAGGACCGGTTTCAGATAATCGTCACCGGTGTTGATGGCCGTGAGCGGGAGTCGAACTCGGGGGTTCGACCGGATTCGTGGCTCAGCGCGCAAAGCGCTGACACTGCCGCTCCCCGAGTCGCGCAGACGCAGACGGCTGAGAGCCACGACCCGCTGGGGGAACTTGAGGACAACCGTCGCCGGCGACTGGCCAACATCTGGTTACCCAGAATCTGAATGAATCTGATCGGCAACTGCCCCGAGTGGCCAACTTGGGACGGTGACGTCCAATCAGATCGCAGACGGGCCCACGTCACTGCCTGATGGCCAAGCTGTCTTCATTTGAGACTAAATGGCTGAAAGTCTGTGCGTAACAGAGATTAATCTCTTTTCACGGAAATCAAAGCTTACACTATTTCAAACTTATTTTACCAGGTAAGGGGCCGTCCATAAATGACGTCACGCGATTTTGGACGATTTTTAACCCCCCCCCCCCTTCGTCACACGACGTCACAAAAAGCCAGACCCCCCTCAAATATAGCGTCACAAAGCTCTGCCTCCCCCCCCCCAAAAAATAAACCATGCTTCAAATCGCTTTAAACTATTGTCATTGTGGTGTGTATTTGATGTGGCGCTGCACTCTGATGTAGGAGAAAAATTGATAAAAAGTCTATTTAATTAAGTAGAACGTGTTGTCTATATCTATTTAAAGTTGCGCATTTTGATGTGACGTCAAATTTCTCAAACCCCCCCCTTGTCACACACATCGTCACAAATGTCTGACCCCCCCCCCCCCCTAGGTGCGTGACGTCATGAGCTGTGTGGAGCTAAATTTCGATTTAAAGCTTTCGTGACTGCAGGGATTCATCTTCTTGGTTCTTTCGGTAAAGTAACGTAGAATGGAAATAATAAAATAATAAAAATAAAACAATAAAATAATTCTCACGGACGTTTCGGCCACAACGCAAGCAGCCGTCCTCAGGTGGAGAACAGGTCTGTCGAGAAGACTGTCTGAATGACACACTCCAGGCTTGGAGTGACTATTTAAGCTGGGATGGAGGGGGGAAGGGCGTCTTGACAAAATAATTTGCATATCAAGAGGAATTTAGCATATTTATGGGAACTCTTTTTTCGGAAGTGACCAGGCCATCACAGATGATAGCTAGTGGTTCATCAATGCGGATAGTGGCTCATCAATGCGGAAATGTATAGCATGCACATTTGCTCTAAAACGCATGGCGTTGATTGTAATTGACCTAAAGCTTTCGTGAGTGCATGAATTCATACTCTTTGGGTCTTTCGCTAAAGTCACGTAGATAGATAAAACATTTTTAAAAATGACTGTTGAGATTTTTTATTATTTTTATATCTCCGTGACTTTAGCGAAAGACCCAAAGAGTACGTTCGTTCTAAATGTGGAGGGAAAACCCGGACTACCTGGAGAAAAATCCACGCCGCCACGGGGAGAGCGACACCGCAAACTCAAAATAGACAGGGGTCAGGATCGAACCCACGACCTCCTGCTCATCAGGCGAGGTAGTTAACATCTTTCCACTGCGGTGCCCCTGTTGTTTATACTCACAATTGACTGATCGAGTGAATGACCATGTGAGTGATGAAGTGACTATCAAGGAATGGCTCTCACTCCAATCCGTTGTCCACAAAGCTGCCAATGTCGCTCGTGTCTCACGCGTTGCTGCTGACGGTTGTTGGAAACAATTGCCCTCCAGTTGCTCCCGTGGATCGTCGTCTTAGGGTTCAGGGGAGGTGACCGTCGTGTCTGTACACACACCGGAGGATCTCGACCAGAGGTGAGGAACCCGTCGGCCCTGGGGCCAGACAGCCCTTGACGTCACTTCATCCAGCCCGTCACTTGACACAGCCCGTGACTTCACTTCACCCAGCCCGTCACTTCACACAGCCCGTGACGTCACTTCACACAGCCCGTGACGTCACTTCACACAGCCCGTGACGTCGCTTCACACAGCCCGTGACGTCGCTTCACACAGCCCGTGACGTCACTTCATACAGCCCGTGACTTTATTTCACACAGCCCATTAATTCATCTCACACATTTTACAACCGCACGAGGCCTAACCACTTCGCACACAGCTGGCAAACCATCATTTATCCATCACCACAAACATCTGAGCCGCACTAGCCGGGAATATGTCCCACCTGGCAACAAGGGCCGTAGGTTTTCTAATTCAAGGTGGTGCTCGGTCGCTCGCGTCTGGGTTTCACTCCCAAGGTTGCTGGAGGTCCTTCCGGAATCTCGGCCAGGGAGAGGGAGGACCCCCCCCCCACCCCACCATGATCTCGACGTCCCGCGCGAGGTCTCGACACGTTTGCACACATCTCGTCCCTATCTCGGCGCCGAATCTCCAACACGCAGTGCCAAATCTCAAGATGCTATACCAAATCTCCAACAGGGTACCAAATCTCAAGACCCGGTACCAAATCCTCAAAACCCGGTACCAAATAGGAAGACTTGGTTTCAAATCTCAAGACACGTTGCCAAATCTCAAGACGCGGTGCCAAATATCAAGACGTGGAACCAAAACTCTAACACAGTGCCAAATCTCCAACACGCAGATACCAAGTCTCCGACACGCAGTGGCCGAGCGCTGGACGTGGGGCTCTCCAGTGGTGAGTCCCACCGGTGATGTGCTAAGAAGCAAGGTGCAAAGTTCAGGACCGCACTCGGGAATTGCAATTCCAAACCAGAATTTGTCATCGTCAACGGCTTTTGGATTGATCGACAGTAGAAGCCCTCCTCCTCTCTCTTAACGACGGGAATTGGTTCCATGAAACCGATCGTCTAGCGAATTTGGTAGTTAAGCGAGTACAGGGAATGTACGTTAAAGGCTTAATTCGTTCCGATAGTATCGAATTACCCACCTTTTCACCCCATAAACGTACTTCGTAATATTTAAACAATGGATATTAACACATATATTATCAACATTATAAACACATAACATTAAAATAAACGCGGGTAATGCATTAATTCATATTTATTGTACCTACAACAGCCCGTCGTTAACAGGGGAATGGTCGGTAAACGAACACATTGGGCTCTATGGAGGCCCATCGTTAAGCGATTAGTTGCTGACAGGGGTGGTCGTTACGAGGGGTTCTACTGTACCGTAATCCCAGGATTTTGTAATCACGAGTCTTTGATTATTTATTTTGTTGGGTTTCCTAGAATCGAAGTACAACATAATGCTTCTTTTTTATTCATAGCAGGACCATAGCGGTGTTGGAATGTTGGAATCCAGAAACTGATTTCTGTACGAGATTCTGAATTCATGAAAATCAAATACACGCTATTATGAATCATTTCCTGTTTCACGTGGTTGCAAAATTCACACAACTGCGATTATTAATAGGGCCAAGGCGCGCGTGGAATTGCGGTTGATGGGAATCGGCAATTTCCCATTGTGCGCGACGGGGGTTTCAGTGTGATCAGAGTTTTAGGATTTCGAGACGCACGGTCCGGCCCGAATCGCCTGGCACTAAACGTCGCCGTGCGAGGGATTGGTCATTCAAGGGGTCATTCATTCAGCGTGGTCAACGCGTTACGATGCATTTGCATTACGACACATCTGCAAAGTGCCCCTGGCGCCCGCTGCCTCTTTCCCCACTCGTCTGTGTGGCTTCCTCGCGCCTCTGAGTCGGTCCGCCTCTCTCTCTCTCTTATCGAGAGTTGAAATTATGATTCAAGCACCTGAGCAATCAAATGGCTGAGCAAATCGTCACTGGAAAAGTAAATAAAGCCTGTCCGCATTTTAAGCAACCGGTTGCAGCGACGTCCACAACATCAGCAATGCCGCTGCGTGAAACTGGTCGCGATGCATTTTCGTGTGCGTGCAACCGATCGCGATGCAGTTGCATGCAACCCGTCGTGATGCAGTAGCCTGGATCGGTCATGATGCAGTTGCATGGAACCGATCGCGATGCAGTTGCATGTAAATGATCGCATTGCAGTTGCGTGCAATCAATCGCGATTCAGTTGCGAGTGAAACCGAGGCTGCTCCCACTACCGTACGGCCCGCCACAGGTCTTTTTATACAGGGACTCCTCTACTTATGATCGTTCGAGTTACGAACTTTCAGAGATATAAACAAACCTGTCCGTATGTCATGTAGATGCCACATGAAGAACTGGTGGCATCTACATCTGCAGAACGTGAAGAACCAGTGCCATCAACATCTGCAGAACATGAAGAACTGCTGGCATTTACATCTGCAGAACATGAAGAACCAGTGGCATCTACATCTACAGAGCATAAAGAACCAGTGGCATCTACATCTACAGAGCATAAAGAACCAGTGGCATCTACAGCTGCAGAACATAAAGAACCATCGGCATCTACATCTGCAGAACATAAATAACCAGTGGCATCTAGATATGCAGAACATGAAGAACCAGTGGCATCTACATCTGCAGAACATGAAGAACCAGTGGCATCTACATCTCCAGGAGATTTTACAACTTTTAAAGCCACTCCCCGTGTTTCAGGTACACATGTTTGGAATCGACAGGAGTAAAGTTGGAGTCTACGCGGCCGCTCAAAGTGCACTCCTTTCATCGCATTCTTGGCTTCTCAGTACAAATCCAGCCGTGCGCGCCCGAACCAAATCTCAAAATAGCTTTCTGTTTAGTGTCTACGCGTTTCAAAACTACTATGTACAAAAAATAGCATTTCATGGCTTTGCAAACGATAAAGCACTCTTTAGCGAGCTTCCCCCTCATCTTGTGACAAATAGCTCTGAGCAGAATGGCCTGCTATGTGCAAAGAGCAAAGAGTGTGGAGGAGACGTTGCAAATCCATCAGGAGGGCCTCAAGGCCAAAGCTCGGCTTCTGAGGACGAGCAAGTTGGGCCCGTGGGGCCACGTGTAGTGCACTTTAAGCCTGGCGCAAGACTTCTGGGGCCATGCAAATGGCCACCAGGGCTGGGAATTATAACCCTTAAATCAAGCAGACGAACTCTTAGGCCAAGTCGGGAAAAAAAAGCAAATGTAGGCCCATGCAATGTGTCTGCTATCGCTAGTCTGAGCAAGATAGATTCAGAATGAGATGCCGGTTATTTAGGCCTAAAAATACGTTTTAGGAAAGAATGTGCCCTTATTGCCAATACCATGACCTTCATATATGGAGAAGGCTCGTTCGGGGTAAGCTGGGACAAATGTGGACCATGCAAAGAGCCTTCTGTCTCTGCCCTGAAATCTGTAGGCCAAGTAAAAAAATATATCGAGATTGAAGATTATTCAGGCTAAGCCTTGTGCACTTCAGGCAGGCCCTGGTCATACCAGTTGCCAATCAGTGAAATACCGCAGCAGTTTGTATTCACGTGTACCAGGCCTTAGCGTTTCTCTTCGGCCAAATAGAAGGCCTCACAACTGCATGCGCCTCAGGATTTAGGCCTAGTTGAGGATCGTATAGCAGTGCATTGGGGCCGAAGTGATGCAAATTTCAAACGATGGGATTAAGCACGATGGGAGAAAGCCGTAAGCCAGAATTCTTTACTCGCTGATAAGACATTATCAGTCTGAGGGTCGCCACCACATATTTAAAAGACCATTGGGGTTTGACAATGCTCGATCATCAACCGAATCAGGACCAGGCCATGTGGCTGATGTGGCCACCTGATGCCATTAATAGCGCCATGAAAGATTCGGCGGCCTGTGAGTGGTGCGGCCACGAATCCCAAACCATCGACCCGCATCGTGAACACTTTCCCGCCGCCGCCGCTGCTGTCTCGATAACAACATCTAAAATGATGTCTCTAATCTGCTGCTATTAATCCATACGAAAGAAGAAGCATGGTGATGATGGGGGAAGGGAGGGGTGTTTTCACTATTTGTGTATTGTTGAGGGGGCCGCACCGTCAGGGGCCACATTCAAAGGCCACTGGGGGGCCGCCCGTGAGCCCCACCGGGGCCTTGCAAAACGTGGAAGAGTAGGCCAAGCGCCTTCTGGCTCTTGGGGCTCCCTCTAGTCGAGGCCTACATTCCGCCAGCAATGACATAAGACGGCAACATTGCAGGGCCACTCCACTGGTAGCCAGCCACGAGCCACCGGCCCTCTTGATGATGCACCGTCAAGGCCATCAGGGGCCGCCAGTGGCCCCATGGGGACCCTTGCAATGAAGAACACTCCTGCTGTAAGCCATGCAGAGGGCAGTTTTTGGCCTACCAAAAAGAGGCCCTTTGATCAAACAAAGTCTTCAGCCAAGCAGCAAGAAGCCTCAACCGACAAAGGGCTTTGGAGGGGTAGAGGTGGTGGGGGGTGGAGGTGGTGGTGGTGATGGGAGGATTGTGTTGTGCCCAACGAGGTGCGGTCAAGTATGGGTTGCACAGACGTTGAGCGAGCAGCAGTAGCAGCAGCGGCACTGCATCAGCATCATTTTGGCACTCGAGACGACATTCTATTTGCAAAGGCAAAAGCATTGTTTTGTTTTCAAAAAACCCCGGACCTCTCTAATGCCCCATCACAAACATCGCCTACGTTTAACCAGGCCAAATGCCTTCGCCCCTCTTTTATCATCATTATTCTTATTTTGAACGCTTTCATGGACGAATGGTAAAAAAAAAGCTTTGCCCATCATCTCGCCTGACAGCGGTGCGGCGTGGCACGATAACTCTCATGAAAAAAGCGATCCAATACGAACAAACACTTTCGTGTTGTTGTTGTTGTGTATCTGCTTGTGTTGTTGTGTATCAGCTTGTGTTGTTGTGTATCAGCTTGTGTTGTTGTTGTGTATCAGCTTGTGTTGCTGTGTATCAGCTTGTGTTGTTGTTGTGTATCAGCTTGTGTGTTGTGTATCAGCTTGTGTTGTTATCAGCTTGTGTTGTTGTGTATCAGCTTGTGTTGCTGTGTATCAGCTTGTGTTGTTGTTATCAGCTTGTGTTGTTGTGTATCAGCTTGTGTTGCTGTGTATCAGCTTGTGTTGTTGTGTATCAGCTTGTGTTGTTGTGTATCAGCTTGTGTTGTTGTTATCAGCTTGTGTTGTTGTGTATCAGCTTGTGTTGTTGTGTATCAGCTTGTGTTGTAGTTGTTGTGTATCAGCTTGTGTTGTTGTGTATCAGCTTGTGTTGCTGTTTCTGGTGGTGGATTTAACGACACATTTATATTTATGTGATCTAACTCAAAAAAAACTGTTGTGAAAAGGAGGAGGTTTGGGATGGGGAGGGCATGCACGGAGGATGGAGGATAAGGGGTTGAGCAACTTGGAAGTACTGCATATGACGTGGCAGGAAAGCGTAATGCAGAGTCTGTTCCCCTACAACATGGTGATAGTAGTTGCGTTCCTGAAGAAAAATCACATTGTAATGAATGATAATATAGGGTAAAGCGAAGTCCGCGACAACACGTGAGATGCGTACGCAGGCCAAACAAAAACCGAGTGCAGGGTTGCATCTAGAAGCATCCAGCAGCGTGCGATGATGATGCTACGCCGAGGCAGCCGTACGACCGCTCGTTCCTACTCGCGTGACGTAGTTCCGTTCGCTCAATCGCGTTACATCCAATTCGTATCGTCTTTATTTAAACACAGATTGTGTTCCCTCATACATTCATTACGTTCTATCCACTTGGCATTATTAAAACTATAACGCGTTACAGGAGAACAGAGTGCGCAGTATGTGTAATCAGCAAATGTGAGGAGCAGTCTCTGGATGGGTGGGGCACGTGTGCAGGGTGGAGGAGGTCAGTTGACCGTGCCAGGTGTTTGGGAGTGGCACCCAGAGGTCAGCGACCAATGGGAAGACCTCGAGCCAGAAGCAAGAGGCCGTTCTTGGAGGTCACATGCCAAGCCCCCAGCGAAAGCTGCGGGATCAAACGTACCGTGGCGACGACCCGCACGCGTCTAAGTTGAACACTGGCACGTGTTGACGTTTCAGAGCCGTTTTGTAGACGAGCACAGAAGGCAACAGATCCACCGGGCCTGGTATGGCCAAGCAGCCTTGCTTTGTCCACATAGTGGTGGGGGGGGGGGGGGGGGGGTTAAATGGGCACAGCACGGGTAGGGCACGGCACAGGCTAGAGAAGAGATGGGATGGTGTGGGAAAGGAGTGCACAGGGTGGTGGTGTGGTACGTTGGTTTGAGTGGACTTGCGCCCAGCCGCTCCTGTCAGCTGTAATGAGGCGCGGCCTCTCTGCACCAACTCGGCTCGTGAAGGACACCAGTCGGTGGCTGACGGCAGCCGACATTGTGGTCACGACAACGATGACCAGAAAGGCGTAGGAGGAGGAGCAGCGTCGCTCACAGCAAACGGAGCGATGGGTGCCAGCGAGGCACTGCTCCCTACGTCTCCCGATAGCCACCGCCAGCTCCACCGCCGCCGCCGAAGATGTGCTCGGGCAAGCACAAGATGAACGGCACGGGCAGGCCTCGTCCGGACGGCACCGGCCCCAAGGCCCGTACGGCGACGGTGGCAGCGAGCGCCGGGTCCGGCTGCGCCGCTGCGGCCGCCCTGTCTCTCGCTCCGCCGACGCTGCTGCCCTCCCACGTCGGCACCGCTTTCAAGTGGCCCTCGTCGCCGGCGTCGAATCGCATGGCGCATGAGCGGCTCACGCAGAACACCTCCTCTTCCAGTGCGGCGCAGCGGAACGGCGGCGCCAGCGACCGCGTCAGCCGCTCGCCGGGCTTCGGCACCTCCGCCGGTGGCGCCGTCTCGCCGGCAAATCCGGAACCGGCGTGCAGGATGGCGCGCGGGTCGCCCAGTGTCCCGAACGTGGACCACGTCTTGGCGTGCGTGTTGTAGCGCTGGACGGTGACAATCTGTGTCGCTTCATTGCTGCTGCTGTTGTCGGCCGTAACACCGGTAGCAGCACCGGCATAAGCAGCTGCAGCAGCACCGTACGCGATGCTTCCACCACCAGCGGCGGCAGCGGAACCGGCGGCTGCCCTTTCGCTCTCAAACCGCAGCAGCCACCTCCCCACGCCGACCATGTCGGCGGAGCGGTGCCGGCCGGGCGCCATTGGGCACTCGCTCCAGGTGTCGTGCCGCGGCGAGTAGCGCAGCAGGCGGCGGAAGAGCGAGCCGCCCGACACGTACAGCTCCCCGCCACTCTCGGCCGCCTCGTGCGCCACTGCGAAGCAGCCACGCGGCAGCGGCGCGACGGGGCGCCAGCGGCCCGCCCGCGGGTCGTAGCGCTCGACGCTCAGCAGGCACTCGCCGCCCACGGCAAACAGGGCGCCGTCGCACGCCACCAGCCGCAGCTGCGCCCGCGCCTGCTGCATCGGGGGCAGCGGCGCCCACACGTCGGTGCTTGGGTTGTAGCTCCACACCTGCGCCGACGGAGTTCCGGCGGTGGCGGCGGTGGCGGCGGTGCTGGCGGTGCTGCGAGCGGCGGAGGGCTGTGCTGGTGGACCAGCGCTGCCGCTGCTGTTGTTGTTGCCGGTCGAGTTGTTGCTGGCGGTAGAGTTGTTGCTGCCGGTGCGGTGGTGCTTGCTGGTGCCATGGCGCACGTCGCTCGTGCAGGGCGTGGTGGCAGTGGCCACGGAGCCCTGGTGCGTGCCCCCTGTGCCAGTGGTGGTGGTGGCGGCGGTGTTCGGCTGTGTGGCGGTGGCGGCGGTGGCACCCTTGCCGGGCCGGGTGACCCCGCCGGCCACGATAAGGTAGTTGTAGAAAACGCAGAGAGCGCAGCCGCTCAGGTTCACGTGGGGCGGCAGTGGGGACAGCGACACCCATGCCGCCTCCTCCTGGCGGGACGGGAAGGGCATGCGGGCGTGTGTTTGGTGTGGAACACGGACAAATAGGCACGTGGCCAGCCAGGCAGACAGATGGACAGGCAGGCACATTGACGAAATGATTGACAGACAGGCAGACGCATGGAGAGGTATACAAGATTGATAGACAGACCGAGAGGCAGGAAAACAAACAGGGAGACGGATTTACGGGCAGGCACACAGTTACGTGGAGCGGCAGACAGACTTGACTGGAAGGCAGACAGACAGGTTAAACACAACAACAACAACAACCACCATTCGCCACTAAGTGGAGATGACATCACCATGGCGCTTGTGCCAGGCTAAGTGCACTTTAAGGTCATGTGAAGTGTGGAATGCCCACTGGCAGGTCATGGGATAGACCCAGTTGCTATGGGTTGAATGACTGAGATGACTGGCCGATGCATCACCTGTGCCCCCTACTGTGCCAACTTGCTGTGTTCCTCCGCCCTCCGTTGTTGTTGGAGGGCGACTGGCTCCAACTGCCCAGTAGCATCCTTCACGAGCCTCCTCCACAGAGGCCAATCTTGACACCACTGGTACCAGTTATCAGCAAGTCCACTCAGCTCCACATCCTCTTGTACCACATCACTCAATCTCTTCTCTAGCCCGTGCCGTGCCCGTTTAGATCCCGCTATCCGGCCGAACAGAAGCTGTTTAGGCTTCATGTAGCCCGCATGCCCAGCCACCGCAGCCTTGACTGCGGGAGGAGCTCACCGATGGGACTTTGTTCAGATCTTTCGAGGATTTGTGAGCTCCTCACACAATCTAGCCTGATTAAACCCAGGATGGATCGTAGGCAGGTCAGGCTAAATGTTTCTAACTGGCAAAGATGTTCCATTAAGGGGGTCCACGTTTCGCAAGCATACAGAAGGGAGGGCATTACCATGTGATGCGACAGACCAGATAGCTTCCACACAGGGTTATACAGCTGATGAAACGATGATGCCGCTCAACTGATTTGGAGTGAGACCTCTGCTGTCAAACCGGATATGGTCATAGCACACTGCCCAGGTATGAAAAATTCTCCACTCTCTCCACAAATGCCCCATCACAAATGGGGAGTTCTGTTGGTCGAGTGTTTGATGGTACAAAATACCCATTCTAGATTTGAAGCTTTCGTGACTGCAAGGATTCATACTCTTAGGCTTTTTTGGTAAAGTCACGTAGGTAAAAAATAAAATTAATAGAAGTAATAATAGAAATACAATAATAAATCACGACGTTTCGGAGGCAACACAAGTCTCCGTCATCAGGTGGGACCGTCACAGCTAAGATTACTGCATCAAGTGAGGCAAAATTCCCTGTCAGTCCCCAAGGTGAACAGGGAATTTTGCCTCACTTGATGCAGTAAATCTGGCTGTGACGGTCCCATCTGATGACGGAGACTTGTGTTGCCTCCGAAACGTCGTGATTTTTATTGTTTTATTTTTATTAATTTTATTTCATTTTTTACCTACGTGACTTTACCGAAAGAACTAAGAGTCTGACAAATGGGGTTTGGCCAAAACACAAGCAGACAGATTGACAGACATAGGCATGCCAATATGTAGATAGGTAAGACAGTTACATGGAGGGCATACAGACTTGATACAGACTTGCAGACTGTGGAGATGCGGACAAACAGCCAGACGACCAAGATGGAGGAATACGCAATGGGACACGGATGGATGGACACAGACTGATGGCTGGATGTTCATGTAATAGGTTTTACCCTTTCTAGAAATGAAACAGGTTTTAAGATGTTCAAAGACCAAATAGATAACCTTTGCAAGGCATCAAGTCTGCATTAACCACACATTTTTGTGGCAAAACGTGTCAAGCATGATGAAAAATAATCCTAGGTTTTACCCTTTCTGGCAAAGAGGTCCGATAGGTATGGATGTACACATGGTATACGGACGGACGACGGACGGCACACCGGCCATGTCACCCCCTCACCTCGTTGTAGGCGTACATCCACCTCGCCTTCCCCCTCGCCACCGCACCCTCCCCCCCCTCCTCGTCCTCATCCTCGTCCCCATCCTCAGCCGTCGTCAGCGACGACGACGCCGAGGACGCATCGCTGGGCACGGGGCTCTGCGGGCGACTGCCCGCGCGGCTGCCCGCGCGGCTGCCCCCACGGGCCGCCACCGTGGCCGCGGCGGCCGCCTCGAGCGGGGCCACGACGAGCGAGGGGCGGCCCTGGGCGGCGCGGCGAGACAGCACCAGGTCGCGCTCGCACGCCGACAGGCGGCCGTACAGGCTCGGCTCGCGCAGCGCCTCCAGGTAGTGCTGGCTAATGAAGCCTGTACACCTGCTCCTGATTGGGGGGGGGGGGGGGTTAGGTGAGAGAAGGATGAGGGGTAGAAGAGGAGGAGGTTGGAGGAGGTAGTATAGAGGACGAGTGAGTGAGGATAGCGCTCTGGTGGACAGGAGGAGGGAGGATGGAGAGAGGGGAGACGAGGAGGGGGGGTAGAGGGAGGGAGGATTGGGGGCGAGAAGGGTAGAGAGGGAGAGAGGAAAGAAGAGGAGTGAGGGTAGATGAGAGGGGAGGGGGGTGGAGGAGTAGGAGATAGGAGGATGGAGGATAGAGGAGAGGGCATGGAGGCGGAGGGAGGAGGAGTGGGTAGAGGAGGAGGAGGGAGGGTAGAGGAGGGAGGGAGGATAGAGGAGAGGGCATCGAGGAGGAGGGAGGAGTGGGTAGATGAGGAGGAGGGAGAGTCACACCAAGCGGTAACACGATTTCCGCCTGTTGTGGATGTTCGCGGTTTAAGCCCTGTGGCCGCCCTGGTTAACTCTGTGTGGGCTGTCTTCGCCGTGGAGTCACGGTCTATATGTTTGCCAACGTTGAGATGACCCACGAATGGCTGCATGGGTTAGAACCACATCGCAGCATTACCCCCTGTGCCCCCCCACCCCGCCCCCCACCCCCCGTTACTGCAAGATTATAGCCATCTGTGCAACACTATGCTCTCGTGACAGGCATGCAATGTGGATGTAGGTCTTCCTCCTCGCCACTGATCTCAGGATGCCACTTCAACGTCTGCCTCGGCAACCGGCTCTCCTCCACTCTCCACACCACGTGTCCCACCCATCACTACCTCCAAGTCGCTTACACCACCCTCCTCCACTCTCCACGCCACGTGTCCCACCCATCACTACCTCCAAGTCGCTTATCCCATCCTCCTCCACTCTCCACACCACGTGTCCCACCCATCACTACCTCCAAGTCACGTATCCCATCCTCCTCCACTCTCCACACCACGTGTCCCCCCATCACTACCTCCAAGTCGCTTATCCCATCCTCCTCCACTCTCCACACCACGTGTCCCACCCATCACTACCTCCAAGTCACTTATCCCATCCTCCTCCACTCTCCACACCACGTGTCCCACCCATCACTACCTCCAAGTCGCTTACCCCACCCTCCTCCACTCTCCACACCACGTGTCCCACCCATCACTACCTCCAAGTCGCTTATCCAATCCTCCTCCACTCTCGACACCACGTGTCCCACCCATCACTACCTCCAAGTCGCTTATCCCATCCTCCTCCACTCTCCACACCACGTGTCCCACCCATCACTACCTCCAAGTCGCTTATCCCATCCTCCTCCACTCTCCACACCACGTGTCCCACCCATCACTACCTCAAAGTCGTTTACCCCACCCTCCTCCACTCTCCACACCACGTGTCCCACCCATCACTACCTCCAAGTCACGTATCCCATCCTCCTCCACTCTCCACACCACGTGTCCCACCCATCACTACCTCCTCCTCCTCCTATGATTTACACTCACCAAGTTTCCCTGCCTACATTCTATTCACATTCCGAAATGTCACGTTGCTTAACCCGATCCCCCTCCATGCGATTCACCAGCATCCGACCACACAACAACAACGGCCGCCAATCGCCACTAAGTGGCGGAGACGTCACCACGGTACTTGTGCCAGGCTACGTGCGCGTTAAGGCCACGTGACGTGTCGAACGCCCGTTGACAGCAGGTCACGGGACAGACCCAGGTGCCATGGGTCGACTGACTGAGATGACCAGCTGATGCACCTCCAGTGCCCCCTACCGAACACAACCTTAGACTGTAGGGGCAAGTGCGGTTAGCGAGCACCTATAAAGGCCGACACGGGGGTGAGTGGCCAACACCACGCCCTTGGCCGCCTTTGTCTCCCTAGTGGCGATGTTTACACATCGCACCAGGTACTCATTTGAGGCTGAGTCGACCTAGGTGAGGCACAGGACCGGTTCAGATAATCGTCACTGGTGTTGGTCGTGAGCGGGAATCGAACCCGGGACACGTCAGGTTCCTTTGCGCAGCGCGCTAATAACTCCACCACCGCTCCCCACGACCGAACGCGCGCACGTGCGCGCACGTGCGCGCACCCCCCTACCCAATGGCCAACCAAGGTCTCCCAGTTTCCAGTCGCGTCGTTCATCTGGCAGCGTCCTCCCGCGGGACGTTAATTAAGGAGGCGAAAATAAATGAGCGCACAGTTACAGACCTCCAACCCACACGGGAGGCCATTATCCTGCCTCATGCCGACGCACTCAGCGCCTTCGCCTCACCCAGGAGATTCTCCGTTACGTGCCGCGCCTCGTTTAACACCTCGCGACACATTTGTCCGTGAGAATCGTTGACTCGTCAGCCGTCAGCCCGTCGCTGATCCGTCCGTCACGTGTGCGCTAGGTGGGGTCGCCGAGCAAAGACGTCGCACGCGGCTCGGCGTGGCGTGGCTCAAGACGCCTTGGCAGTCGACAGCTCCTGGAATAAACCGGTGGGGTTCTCTATCCGCCGGTCGGTGTGTTGAGTACGGTGTTGTTATTTAAACTAAACATTGTTTTTGTTATCTTACCAGGTAAGGCACCGCTACTGCGCTGTACCGTTATAGCTCTTATGCAGAAGCGGCCTGCCCATCATGAATGACAATTAACAGCTCAACAAAGTGGCTCATCATCATCATTCCCGTGTGGAGATTTAAAGCAGCAGTCATTAAATACTATAAAATATTCTGAACGTGCGATGTATAATCGTGTGGAAATGTTTAGTAGCAGACGTCGTTTCTCAATGAACCTGGAGGGGAAAATACACGCGTCCACCACGGGGAGAGAGAGAAACACGCAGACTTCAAATCTACAGCAGCAGCAGCAGACATCGTCAGGGTCGGGATCGAACCCACGACCTCCTCCTGTACACCAGGCGAGCTAGTTAACATCTCCTAGCCACCGTGGTGATGATGATGAGAGAGAGACGCAGACTTCAAATCTACAACAGCAGCAGGCATCGTCAGGGTCGGGATCGAACCCACGACCTCCTCCTGTACACCAGGCGAGCTAGTTAACATCTCCTAACCACCGTGACGCCCGCATGGAGGGGTCAGGTGGGTGGGGGGGGGGGGGGTAGGGCTGGTGGGTGGGGGGGGTCGGGCTGGTGGGGGGGGTCAGATGGGTGGGGGCTCAGGTGGGTGGGGGGGGGCTCAGGTGGGTGGGGGGGGGTCAGATTGGTTGGGGGGGGGAGATCGGGTGGGGGTGGGATCAGGTGGGCGGGGGCGGGGGTCGGGTAGGTTGGGCAGGGTTCTGGTGGGTGTCGGTGGGGTCTGGTGGGTGGGGGTCAAGTGGATGGAGGGGGTCGGGTGGGGGGGGCTCATGTGGGTGGGGGCTCAGGTGGGTGAGGGGGGCTCATGTGGGTGGGGGTTCAGGTGGGTAGGGGGGGCTCATGTGGGTGGGGGGGGGGCTGACACCTTGAGCTGGGAGAGCGCATGGCTCTTGGCGATGGCGAGCAGCTGCGTGCAGCTGCTCAGCTCGAGCCGGGAGCCGAGGGCCTCCAGGGCGGCTCGCTCCACGCCGGGCATCTGCAGCGAGCGAGCGGCCGTCATCACGTCCAGCAGGAAGGGCGGAACGTCGGCCCGTGGGAGGCCGCCCTGCACACGCGGTGGAAGAGGGCGGGTGGGGTGGGGGTGGGTGGGTGGGGTGGGGTGGGGAGGGGGTGACGGGGTCAAGTTTGGTCAGATCGTCGTCTTGGTCATTGTTGTTGTTACGACTCTTCAATGAAACCATCACCACCACCACCACAGTGATAGTATCACAACCACAATAACCACACCACAACCAAACGTCCTATAACATCACCACCACAATCACACCACCTTCACCACGTTCCCAACATCACCACCACAACCACCATCGTTCGCTACTAGATTCATAACATCCCCATCACTACCACCACCACCATCATCATCACAACCACCATCCAAATAAAGTTACCACCACAATCACCAAATTCACAACACCATAGACAAATATCCCCCGTATAGCCTTAACAGACTGTTAGGCAAAGTGCGGTTAGCGAGCAGCTATGAAGACCGGCACGGCACAAGAGAGAGGGTGGGTGGCCAACACCACGCCCGGCCGCCTTTGTCTCCCTAATGGCGATGTTTACACATCGCACCAGGTACTAATTTTAGGCTGAGTCGACCTACGGAAGGACCAGGACCGGTTCAGATAATCGTCACGGGTGTTGGCCGTGAGTGGGAATCGAATTGGGGGTCGCTGCTGCGCCACCGCTCCCCACAAAGAGCCTTAACAGACTGTTGGGGCAAGTGCTGTTAGCGAGCAGCACCTATGAAGGTGGACAGCACCAGCTTCGTAGCGCGAGCCGCTGCTGCGCTGCCGCTCCCCCACGATCACCAAAATCCCAGCACCACCGTCCTCACCATCTGCTCACCTGTGGACGCACGCGGCCCGTGTAGGCGCACCGCACGAGCGCACTCGCCGTTCCCGGGCCGAGTCCCGGCACGGCCCTGAGTGCGATCACGCGCCTGGACGCGCGCGCCCTGAAGTAGTCGCTGGCGGCGCCGAGCACGGCCGCGTGGGCGCCCAGCGGCCGGTGGTGGCCCCGCACCTCCAGCACCACGTCGGGGCGGCCCGCGGCACGCCAGGCCCTCAGGGCCACCGCGTCGTCGTCGTCGTCACCATCATCAACATCAGCGGGAAAACGAGCAGCCGCAGGAAGAGCAGCAGCGCAGGGGTTGGTGGTTGTGACAAGGCCTGACGGAGTCGCGATCTGGACCGTGGACGAGGCGATGGAGTCATCGTCGTCACCACCATCGCCGACATCATCACCAGCATCAGTGGGAGAATGTGCAGCAGGAGCGCAGGGGTTGGTGGTTGTGGCAAGGCTCGACGGAGTCGCGATCCGCACCGTGGACGAGGTAACTGAGTCAGCGTCGTCGTCAGCAGCAACAGCTGATGATGACGCTGATGATGACGCTGATGATGCATGGCCCGTGTCGTTGTTCTCGTCAGGAGCGGTACCGCGATGATGAGTCGTGCCAGCAGCAACTGCTGCTGCACCACCACCACCGTCACCACCGTCACCAGTAGCGGCGTCGCCGTCATGGTCAGCGTGATGATGATGATGATCGTGTTGAGGAGGTAGATGAGGAGGCTTTGTTATCGGATAGGTGTTGGTTGGAGACCTTCCAGCCTCTGTCTGTTGACGAGGACGACGACGACGATCCATCTCGCCATAGTCCGCAGTCGCTTCGTGTTGAGTATCCGCCTTCACCTCGCCGTGAGCCACGGAGACGTCCGCGTTTGTCACCTGAATGGTCGCAGCAGCAGCAGCAGCAGCTGCCTCTGACGTTGTTTCCATTGTCCCCAGTGTCTCCATTGTCCCCAGTGTCTCCATTGTCCCCAGTGTCTCTGTCCCCAGTGTCTCTGTCCCCAATGTCTCTGTCCCCAATGTCTCTGTCCCCAGCAGTGTCTCTGTCTCTGACGTCGTCTCCATTGTCCCCAGTGTCTCTGTCCCCAGTGTCTCTGTCCCCAGTGTCTCTGTCCCCAGTGTCTCTGTCCCCAATGTCTCTGTCCCCAGTGTCTCTGTCCCCAGTGTCTCTGTCCCCAGTGTCTCTGTCCCCAATGTATCTGTCCCCAGCATTGTCTCCATTGTCCCCAGTGTCTCCATTGTCCCCAGTGTCTCCATTGTCCCCAGTGTCTCTGTCCCCAATGTCTCTGTCCCCAGCAGTGTCTCTGTCTCTGACGTTGTTTCCATGGTCCCCAGTGTCTCTGTCCCCAGTGTCTCCATTGTCCCCAGTGTCTCTGTCCCCAGTGTCTCTGTCCCCAGTGTCTCTGTCCCCAGTGTCTCTGTCCCCAATGTCTCTGTCCCCAGTGTCTCTGTCCCCAATGTCTCTGTCCCCAATGTCTCTGTCCCCAGTGTCTCTGTCCCCAGTGTCTCTGTCCCCAATGTCTCTGTCCCCAGCAGTGTCTCCATTGTCCCCAGCAGTGTTTCCATTGTCCCCAGTGTCTCCATTGTCCCAAGTGTCTCTGTCCCCAGCAGTGTCTCTGTCTCTGACGTTGTTTCCATTGTCCCCAGTGTCTCTGTCCCCAGTGTCTCCATTGTCCCCAGTGTCTCTGTCCCCAGTGTCTCTGTCCCCAGTGTCTCTGTCCCCAGTGTCTCTGTTCCCAATGTCTCTGTCCCCAGTGTCTCTGTCCCCAATGTCTCTGTCCCCAGCAGTGTCTCCATTGTCCCCAGTGTCTCCATTGTCCCCAGTGTCTCTGTCCCCAGTGTCTCTGTCCCCAATGTCTCTGTCCCCAGTGTCTCTGTCCCCAGCAGTGTCTCCATTGTCCCCAGTGTCTCCATTGTCCCCAGTGTCTCCATTGTCCCCAGTGTCTCTGTTCCCAATGTCTCTGTCCCCAATGTCTCTGTCCCCAGTAGTGCAGCTGCCTCTGACGTTGTCTCCATTGTCTCTAGTGTCTCTGTCCCCAGTGTCTCTGTCTCCAGTGTCTCAGTCTCCACCGTCGCCCCTCCCCCACCCCTCCGTCTCACCGACCCCCCCGGTCCCGGCATGACCCGGGTTCGAGTCTCCCTGCCGGGGTTCTGGCTCAGGCCCCAGTCGTCAGCGGGGTCCCAGTCCCAGTCGCATCCCGGGCCCCAATCCCACTCCTGCCTCCTGCCCCAACCCGTGCCCTGCCCGGGGCCCTGCTCGCCCTCCCTGTCGTCCTGGCTCTGGTGCAAGACCCAGTCACATGCCGGGTCCCAATCCCACTCCTGCTCCTCGTCCTGACCCCGCTCCTGACCCCTGTTCTGACCCCGCTCCTGACCCCGCTCCTGACCCCTGTTCTGACCCCGCTCCTGACCCCTGTTCTGACCCCTGGTCTGATCCCGCTCCTGACCCCGCTCCTGACCCCGCTCCTGACCCCTGTTCTGACCCCTGGTCTGATCCCGCTCCTGACCCCGCTCCTGACCCCGCTCCTGACACCCGGCCTGGTGTCCAACCTGGTGACGCGCCTGCTCCCAGTTCGACTTGCATCCCAAGTCCCCGGATGTAGCCTGGTGCTGGTCTCCTTCACGGCTCTGGTCCCGGTGTTGATTCCGCTCCTCCTCCTCCTGGATTCTGTTGTGCTCCCAGGTGGCCTTGTCCTGGTCTCCTTCTCGGTCCAGGTCCTGCGTCCGGTTCTGATCTTGGCCCCGGTCCCGTGCCTGGCTTTGGTTCCGTCTCCTCCTCCTTTGGAAGAAGGCGAAGGTGAGCGTGAGGGTGAGCAGCGTGGTGAGCAGCAGGGTGATGCTCACCACTCGCGAGCCCGGCGCCAGGAACCCCGGGGGGTCGAGGGGACCCGAGGGGGGCTGCAGGTTCAGCGCAGGAGACGGTGGCCCCTGCTCCAATCCTCCGGGGTTCATCTCGTGGGGTGAACACGAGGAGACGTGTACACGAGGAGAGGTTGTGTGTAGGGGTGTGTGTGTGGGTGTGTAGGGGTGTGTGTGTGTGTGTGTAGAGACACTGTGTGTGTGGTGGTGGTGGTGGTAGAAGAGAGGTACACGCGTGTGGATCCGTGTGACACGGATCCACACGACCCACGTCACCACTCGATACCGGACAGTGCTGGCAGGACCCGGTACGGGGTCACGTCACTTATTTACCACTGCGCGCGTGCGTGACAGCGAGAGAGATAAAGTGTCTGTGTGTGTGTAAGTGTCTGTGTGTGTGTCTGTGTGTGTGCGTGCGTGTGTGACAGCGAGAGAAAGTGTCTGTGTGTGTGTGCGTGCGTGCGTGTGCGTGCGTGCGTGTGTGTGTGTGCGTGCGTGTGTGTGTGTGTGCGTGCGTGCGTGTGTGTGTGTGCGTGTGTGTGTGCGTGCGTGTGTGTGTGTGCGTGCGTGACAGCGAGAGATATAAGTGTGTGTGTGTCTGTGTGTGTGTCTGTGTGTGTGCGTGCGTGTGTGCGTGTGTGTGCGTGTGCGTGCGTGTGTGTGTGTGCGTGCGTGTGTGACAGCGAGAGATATAAAGTGTGTGTGTGTGTGTGCGTGTGTGTGTGTGTCTGTGTGGGTGTGTGCGTGTGTGTGACAGTGAGATATAAAGTGTGTGTGCGTGTGTGTGTGTGTGCGTGTGTGACAGTGAGAGATATAAAGTGTGTGTGTCTGTGTGTGTGTCTGTGTGTGTGTGTCTGTGTGTGCGTGTGTGTGTGCGTGTGTGACAGTGAGAGATATAAAGTCTGTGTGTGTCTGTGTGTGTGTCTGTGTGTGTGCGTGCGTGTGTGACAGCGAGAGATATAAAGTGTCTGTGTGTGTGTGTGGGTGTAAGTGTCTGTGTGTGTGTGTGCGTGCGTGTGTGACAGCGAGAGAGATAAAGTGTCTGTGTGTGTGTTTGTGAGTGTGTGTGTGTGACAGCGAGAGAGATACAGTGTCTGTGTTTGTGTGTGTCTGTGTGTGTGTAAGTGTCTGTGTGTGTGTCTGTATGTGTGTGTGTGTTTCTGTGTGTGTGACAGCGAGAGAGATACAGTGTCTGTGTTTGTGTGTGTCTGTGTGTGTGTAAGTGTCTGTGTGTGTGTCTGTATGTGTGTGTGTGTTTCTGTGTGTGTGTGACAGCGAGAGATAAAGTGTCTGTGTGTGGGTGTCTGTGTGTGTGTAAGTGTCTGTGTGTGTGTCTGT